TTTCTTTATCAACTTCAAAAGTTGGTTCGGTTGAAACCGGACCAACCGGACCGGTGGCTACGCCCCTGTTCCTCTATTTATTCATCCATCCATTTATGCATTCATTTTTACCTGTATTTCCTTTCTCATTTTCCCTGATATGAATCTCTTTGCTTGATGTCTCTAGTTCTAGTAAATCTCTCAGTTCTTCCAAGTAGATTTCAATGTACGAAACATGAATCTCAAACTCAACTTTGTCTTTTTTCTCCTAAAGAAAAAAGGTTCTAAGTTTCTTTCTGAGTATCTACCCACTATGTGAACATACTGTGACGTCATTATGCCATATGGAAATTGCGAATTTTATATTTTTGACAATCTTAATTGAATATTTGCGGGTAGTCTCAAAGCGTAAAATTGTAGATAAGATTTGACGACTAAAATTAAACGATTTTTCTTGCAGATTTGCGGCTTTCAACACTCTATGTCTTCCTTCACAAAAATCTCACATCAGTATTTTACTATTTATTAGTAACTAACTCACCTCTATCATCTGGAAAATCTGCTTGACAGCCCTTGGTATAATGCCATGATCRCTGTCAGTCAGACCCCCAGTACCCAGTGATCCCATAGTATGRGTCTTACCAGAACCCTAACATAAGAACATTATAGATCAACTGCAGCTCACACTTCTAGTTCTCTAAGTTCCCACCATTTTAGATCAACTACAGCCAACTTATTTGYCAAGCAAATATCCATTCACTTGTATTCAGGCGGGAAAAACCTGACCCCAAGTGAAGGAATAAGGGCCTGGGAAACAAGTGTAATTAGCGCTTGGATTGCTATTATAAAGTAGATCTATGAATATGAGGACCACATGGCACTGTACTGCTTACATTAACACACATGGCACTATGATCAACATGATATAGAAATCAAAGAAAGTTATATAGTTCTTAGAAAGAGGCAATTCCAGCAGAAAGATCCTTTAGGAATAAATTCGGAAAAAGACCTGGTCTGGCCTTGTAGCTCAGCTGATAGAGCATCGGTAGTATAAATCCAAAGGTTATGTGTTCGAATCCCAGCAATGTTGGAAATTAATGTTTCCGAATTTATTCGACCTACAGGGTCTTTCTCCCGGAATTGCCTCCTTCTAAGCACTATAACTTTCTTTGATTTCTATATGACGTAATATCAATTAGATACCGGTGACCCAAGCATATATGTATATGTAATACACTAAATAGGTGTACAGGTAGGTCAACATTACCATGGTAACCATTGCATCCCATTAGATAGGGGTGGCTATAGCCTGCGTGGCGGCTCTAGGGGAAGGAGGAGGGGGAAAGCGGAAGGGGAAGGGGTGGGGAGGCAGAGCCTAGAACCGCCACGCAGGCTAGGGTGGCTATGGTAACTTGCACATTCAGTTTTGTACAAGATCCCATCTCCCACCTAAGAAACAATGCAGGGGCAGGGGATCACCATAAACAAACGTTCATACAAGACTTGGAAATAAAAACTCACTGTTTGTCCATAAGCAAATACAGTGGCATTGTAACCTTGCAAACAGCTCTTGACCAATGGTTCAACACAAGCCTCATAAACATCTGACTGAAATATCAGAAGGAGCA